CCCCCAAGTGCTGGGAGCTGGGGCGGGTGGGTCAGCCATCGCTGGGCTGGGAGGGGCGGGGGATGGGCCTGGCCTGGCTGATGGGGAGATTCGGCTGAATCAAATCAGTACAGTGGTTCGAATCACCGAATCGAATAGATAGGAAGTATCGAATAGAATAGAATCGAATAGACAGGTAGTACCAAGTATATAGTACATGCTTTCCACTCGTACCTGTAACAGTCACATAGGAGTGTGAGAGAAGGAATGGACTGCATGAAGGTCTTATGTCCTCAATTTACCGGGTGTTGGAAAGCTAGACAACCAATGGCTGAAAGAGTAAGCCAAACAAAATAAGAAGTAGAGAGACAAAATTTTACCAGTGAGGTTGATTATTAATCATTGAAATAAGCTACCAAGGGAAGTGATGGATTCTCCATGCCATGATGTCTTGAAATCACGACTGGATCCTTTTCTGGAAAATAAGCTTTAGTTGAACACAAGTTATTGGGCTCAATACAGGAGTAGCTAAATAGATGTTAATACCCTGTGGTATAGATGATCTAACAGCCCATGTAGCCTGAATCTCCTTGAATCTGTGAACTTGTATCTTAGAAACTTTGCACGGGACAATTAAAACCACGCCAAGAAGTGGACATTTATGGATTTGTTTAACACCATTTTATCTAATATTAATTTTATATTTATTCAATTTAAAGAAAGATATACAATTGCAAAATTACAAATCAGAAACTCTTTGCTTTTCAGGCCCTCCAGGGAAACGAGGTAAGAGGGGCAGAAGAGGAGAGACAGGTGAGTTTGTCACTTTTGGAGGATCTTAGTTTATGTTTATTGAAATATTTCACTTAGGATTTTGCCCATTGTGTACAAATGGAGCTGTCATCTTCCTTGATAGATGATGACTCAGCCATTGTTTTGAGTTGTGCTTGTTCTTAAGGGAGGGCCTGATCACAGAATGCCTTCGTTTTGTTATCAGCTGTGGAGTTACTGGAAGAAAAGGTCTCTACATTTTTTCTAATACAATTTTTGTAATCCTTGGCATATAACTTATGGCCTCCTAAGTTGTTTCCCCATCTGAAATATTACCAACTTGGCATAAAAACTGGTTATTGGTAATGCTGAACTTGTTTCAGTATACAGCAGTGGTTATCAACTTTTTCATTTGCAGGCCCCCAAAAAATGTTGAATGGGGGTTCTAGACCCCTTTGAATTGTAAGTGTGGGTATTCACATACTTTTGATTGATCTAAGTAATCTTTTATGGACCCGTTAAATGTAATCTGCAGACCCTCAGGGGGTCCACAAACCACAGGTTGCAAACCACAGGTGTAGAGAGTCTCCTCTCACTTACACCTGTGCCAATAAGAATAACTCCACTGATGTTAATAGAATTATAGTGGAAAATTGGAGTAATTTAAAGTAGATAATTTCATGAGGAATTAAAAATATTTATTATGTCAGCAATTGGAGAAATAATATGCTAAGCTGACTAAAATGTATAGAACATATTGTTTGTTCATTATTGTGTGTCTGCAGAGTTTAGGAGGCAAGGCTCCAGAATTAAAATCCATTTGGTACTGGATTGTGTTGGTAGCTGAAAGTTTGCTGATGCAACACAGATACTGAAACGCTGACAACTGGAGATAGGACTAGAAACTTCATTTGGGGCTCAAGCCTGAAAAGTATTTGGCACGTTCATCTTCTGTGGGCACCAATGCGAGTTGAAAGTACTGTATTGATCATCTTGCAGGATTGAGCCCTTTGTGAAGATGACATGACAGCAGAGAAAATGGGCATTTCAGATGATTTTGCTGATCTCTGATTTAATATACCAGGGTGGGAGGAACCCACTATCTATTTAATTCTTATAAATAATGTTAGTTCTTCACAGTAATCCATTGTTTAGTCTTGCCTGTAGATGTAAATTAGAACTTGGTTTTGGGTGTTAAAATATTTTTTTGCCTTGTATAGACAAGATAAAACCAAGCTCTGCTAAGAGTCCAGCTGATGTTTTCATTCGATATATAATCAGCTTGTGATACCTGCTGCAAAAACAAACAAACAGACAAACAAGAAAAAACTATGTAGAGGCAATTACTAATGTTGAAGCTGGCTTTACAAAGGATTCTGACTTCAGATGATCTTAGAACCTACCTTGAAGTCTGCTTATCCATTCTTTTTACACATCAAATAAGCACATATTAAAATATTAACATAGGAATTTGATCTCTTGCAGTTGGAAACAGACACTGTACATTAAAGTACTCTTTCAGAATATTTACCAATCTAAAGAAATTACCTTAGTTACTAGACAATAAAATTGCATTGTTAAAAATGAAAGCCTGACAATATCAAAAGCAAGCTGAAAGTACAGCTGTTGCTATTTTATACCCCTTTTGCACCTCACTTTATTCAGAAGTAAGAGAGAGGTATAAAAGCTAATGAAATGCCATTGACTTGGGAGCTGCAGCTGCTCTGCTTAATAAGACTGAAATAGTAGATTTGATTTGAAGCCTTTGATAATGTTCTCAAGAACTCTGTACAAAAGCCTTTGAGTCTAAATAATTGAAAAAATGTGCAAATATCACTTCACAAAGTGTGACATTTTAATAGGGACCATTTGATAAGTGTGTCTTGGAGAAAGGAAGTGATGAAAAGAAAGTTTTGTAGTGTCAGGTGACCAATGATATTACTTCTTATTGGCAAAGGAGGATGGTAAGATCATCTAGTTATAAATATTTCTGTCTTGATGCCAAGGTTAAATGCCAAGGGTAAAAAAATGTGCAATTCTGAAGGCAAGATGCAACTTTAATACTCAGTCAATTGAAACTTATAGATTTATAAAAAATATGTGTGTGTGGAAGCTGAGAAAACAAATGCAGTCATTAATATTTTTAGTATGGCATGAGGCTGCTTGAAAACAAATGAATTCTCTTGAGATTGCATGAGAATATTTCATTCTTTGATAAAGAAACTGTTTAATGGCAAGATGTTGCTAATAGTCTCAAAAAGTAATATTTTGCATGGAAAAAATCTAATTTAATCAAAAGTTCTAAAGTTTGGCTTTATGCAGATTAATCTTCCTTTGGTAAATTCATAAACTTATATATTTTTTTCTTTTTCTCCCCCCGCAGGACCTCCTGTAAGTACAGTTGATACATTATTGGGTCTCCCAGGTTAACCAGGATCAGGCAGGAATGAATTTAGACCCCGTTAAGTTATCACCATGGTAATCTGCTCATATTTCAACCAGAGGAAATTTACATTTACTATTAGTACAGTGTAATTTTTTACTATTTTTTCTGGAGCTGAATGACTTACTTATAAGCTCCTATTTTTCAAAATAACCTTTAAAACTGTAAAATTTTACATCAGCACTAAAGATAGCATTTTAACATGTAAGTATGTTGAGTTCATTTTCTTTACTACTTATTACCAACTGTTGTTGTGTTGTCCAGAAATTTAAGGGCCTTGTTACATGTTGCACTTTGACCTGCTCACGTGTTGATCAGTGTTAATGCTAGCTTGAGTTTGGAGCAGTCATACCTTGAGGCTAAAAGCCTTCTCTGACTGTCCCCCAGCTAAACAGCTCTGACTTGTCACTAGATGGCTGGCAAGTAGGAGCCTGACTAGGAACTACAGCCGAGGCGGGCAATTATTTTGGGCAGAGGGCTGCTTACTGAGTTTTGGCAAGCCATCAAGGGCCGCACGACAGGCAAGCAGGGCAGATAAATATTAATTTTCTAAATTTTTTAGGGGCCCCACGGGCCAGATAGAATAGCCTGGCAGGCCGCATCTTGCTCATCCCTGAGCTACAGCCTACAGCTGTGAGTTGCCTCTACAGGGCTGGTGAGCCAGGACAGGCTTCTACCCCTGCTCCCGATTGGGATCTGTGTGAGAGTTGAGTTAGTGTGGTGGGAGAGGCAGGAACATAAAGCTGGAAGGGATGAGGGTGTGTAATGAAATGGGAGGTAGGGGGTGGGGAAAGTGTGGTGAAATGGAGGAAGTCAGCCACTGAAAGATAAAAAGAAGTAAAAAAAAAAAAAAAAAATTGAAAGGCATAAAGAGGAAGTAAATTAAAGAAGGTCTCATTTTAATAAATTTGGATTTGGGATTGGGGTCAAGGAGTTCTGGTCATGCTTCTAGGAGTAGCTGGGGGATGGGAGCGATGAGAGAAGGAACTTTTGGGGGAGCTACTGCACCTCCATCGGAAAGGAAGACCCAGCTCATGGGGACCTGATCCAGACCACCACCTTTTTCTCCCCCCTCATTCCTCCCTAGACCTCATTCCTGGACCTATCTGTGCCCTGCAACTGGCTAGTTGGCATGTGCCCTGCAGGCTGTTTGCATGGGTTTGGTAAAGTCATGGTCACACGCCTGGGGCCAGGAGGGGGAGTTGGCTTGGTGCCAGAACTGCCCCTTGGGCAGTTGAATCAAGAGGTGGAAAGCTTGTCCACACAAAACAGGAAGGTGGGAGATGCTGAAGGACTGCAATGTGGGTGGGTCATTTGTGGGGATTGGCCACACATTAATGGAATATGGGTTGGGTAACAGATCAGAGATAAACCTACTCTGGAGTGGCATAGCTTTAAGCCACCTAATGTGTGCTTAAAACTAGTTTCAGGTGTTAATTTGTGGACAATCCAGGGGTGAAAAGATCCAGGAGCCACCTAAAATTAATGTGTAACAAGGCCCTAACAGTACCAGAAGTCAAAGAGAGATGGTATGAAAACGTCATGATAGGTCCTTAGCCATCCTAACTCACAGGGAATAGTAACTATTCTGCAAGTGGTCTCATTGCTTAGTAAATTCTATGAGGGAGTCTTTTTTTCATTATGTGTGTGCATGCAGCATTTAATTTAATGGGGTCATGCTCCTGGTTGGAACTACTCAGTGAGACTATAAAAATAATGAGAGAGACTACTACTTAGTTTGACGGATGTTGGCAATTCTGGCCCTAAATTTGTTTCCAACAAAATAATTCCCATTTCTGTTTTATTTTTTATATTACACTGAGCATTTCCAGACCAGGTCATGTTTTTCTTTTTATGTATGGTATTAAAATTATGCACTTAAAGTATTTGCATTCATTATGCTACTGTATCATATATAAATAATAATGTGATCATAGAAATTATATCTCCTATCAAGTGACTTTAAAAGGGTAGCTTTTCTTTTCTTTTCTTAGATTTGTCTCAAGTATGGCTTATTCACAGTCTGCTTTCAGGAACAGATTTTTATCAACTCTGAGTTGGATATGTATTAGAAAATAAGTAAATATTTTCAAGGTTTGTTATCAGACACAATACATTTAGAGTTAAGTGTAAATATACAAATCAGTAATGACCTTCATTATTGAATCATTAACATTTAAATAGTCCAAATGTCAGTGGTTCACATTGCAGAAATCCATCTATCAAGCTATCAGCAAAAGAAATAGCTTAGTGTTTAACAGTGCTCTTTATTTGGAAATGTATTTGAAGGTAATGTTGGATTCCTAAATAACTTTTTCAGTCTTCCTACAGAATGCAAAGATCAAGCATAAATCATGATACAAATGATCTTCCTATAGCAAGACAATTTAGCATAGCAGGTAGTGGATGATAACTATGGAAATCTGTACTTCTTGACTTCATTTCCATACTAATTGGTCTAAAAAAATCTGGAGCCATAGACTATTAGTAGAATTGTGAAATAGCTCTGGAGACTTGAGATAAAGTTTGTAAGTATCTAATAGATCTAGGAATCTAAATCCTATTTTGAAAAGTAATTTATGAGCTTTAGTCTCTTTGTAAGACAGTGCAACTTAGGCTCCTACATACCTAAGTCACTTCTGAAAATGGGATTTAGGCTTTGAAGTCACTTAGACCATTTTTTAGACATTCTCAGCATTTTCTAAACCATGTTAATTGATTTGCATCATACAGTTTGAATCAGATTTCAATTTGAATTAAGGATTAGTAGATGATCATTGACCATCATGGCAGGGGGCACTGGCTATATACAGTCTGTACACTTGACACCCCTTAACAGAAGCTGCAAGTAATTATGAGGCAATAATAAACCTGTTCAAGTATTGCTACATTGTTACAGTTATCTAAAGTTCTGTTCCAGAAGCCATAATTGACCTGATACTTAGTCACTGTGGATACTTGTAGATGTGCGGGGAGGCTGCTCCAATGCACTGTAATTAGAGATTAATTGAGTCTGCTGGAGCATGTCCAGATGTTAATTGAGTCTCCAGCACCATCCACATCTTGTGGCTGCCATTTTGAAGCGTGGGGGTGCTGATACATGAGATACTGCGGGAGCTCTAGTTAAAGCCCTGGAGCACATGTAAAAATGCCCTGTGAGGTGTTGTTGGCCTCTGTTGTGTTGCAAAAACCCAGTTGAGCTTCCCTTGCAGGGACTGATATTTGCAGTGCTTCTCTGAGTTCCTAAGGACTGTTTTTCCTAAAAGTAATGATGCATATACATGTTAATTAATACAGTTCAAATTGTCTAATTTGGATTGCCCTTGTCTGCATTAATTTTAATCTTCATTCAATGAGGATTAGTTCATTTGGACTGGCACCATTTTTAATTCGGACTACAGATGCCCGTGTGTATATAGTGATGGCTGTAGTCTGGATTAAACCTAGAAAAATGTAATGTCTATAAATGGCCTTAGAGTCTTAACACTTAGAGGCATTTGTATACATGTATGTGGCACAGCACCAGGCTCTTTTGAAAGCATCCGGCGCTGCGACCAATGCATTTGTGTAAATGGCAAAATGCATGTCAGCACTGAGAAAATGGCAGTGGTGTGCTTTTGAACTGAAGCACATTCAAGGTGTTTCAGTTCAAAAGGGCATTGCCATTATTTTCTGTGTGCTGATGTGTATTTCACTGTTTATACAAATGTATGCGACGCAGCACCAGGCGCGTCAGTTCATGTGCTCCTCAGACTCTATTAATCGAGTCTGCTCTGATGCACTGGATTTCCAGGGCATTGGAGCAGACAAAGGTACATGTATAAATGCATTAAGTTATTTACTGAAACCTTTTTGTCTAGTTTTGAGTCAGTGTGCACAGCAGTAACCATTAAAAACTCAATTGTGGGTGTCATCTGAGATACTATACCACAGAATTTCTCTTTATTTAGAATAGCAAATGACTGTGGTATATCAGGTGTATTAACATAAGTAAATATTGTATCTTCAAAGGTAACAATTTTACTTTTATCTTTCCTCTGGCTAACTCCTGTGGGTCACACACAATGGTGATCAAAGTACATTCGTACCTTTTCATTTTTTTAAAATTATGTATTACAGCTTCCTCAGATTTTTTTCCTTGATGCAGATGGTAGTTGCAATAGCATATCAACCTATCTCACCTCTCCCCCCTTGGTATCTAGGCATCAAATCTTCGGAGATTTTTTCAGTCCCCTGCTGTCCCCCAGTATCTATGTTTAAATCCTGTTGATAAGAAGTTAATCAAGGATCAAAGGCATAAACGGCTTGTTTGGGGTTTTTTGATTGCATTATAGCTTGAATAGTTTTCTTTACTAAAAACACCCATTTATTCAATGTACCAATTCTGGGCCACTTTGGTTCATATGTAAAAATGTAATAAATTGTAAAGAATTGATGGACACACAAACTTAAATTTTCCAGTAATGTAATGTGCATGTTTGTAATGTCACTTGTCATGAACATGGTGTTAATGTATGTCCTACCATTTCATCTCATTTTACCAGGGTCTACCAGGGCGAAATGGCTATCCGGTAACAGTTCTATCATATATTTATGATAGCTTTTGTCATTCTTTTCTCCCTTGTCTTTGTGTTTATCTTTGCTTTAATCTTTAAAAAGCTAGGCTAAATTAACCCTTCTCTGAAGTTTTTTAACTGCCTACAAAATGCAATCTTTTTTTTCCTAATATTTGTTTCCTTGGCAGTTCTTTATAAACAATCTGAGATAGGAACACATACAATACATGCCATAAACACAAATATACCCATTATTTTCATAGCATAAATGTTGTGTTTGCTGTATTTGTTTATTCTAGCATGCAGAAATTATTTTGTCACCATAATGACTTAAACTGGATACTGTGTACCAATTTTCTCTGTTAGACAACTGTTCAGCTGGCTTACTGAATCTCCACAACCTTCACTTGCATTTTGTATGGTTTTGTTTAGTTTCTATCACTATATCTTTAGCAAGGTAAATTAGAGAGTTAGGAATGGGATGCAAAGCTTATAATAGAGTAATCTTATGCTAATATATGTGCTTTTGTGTAATTTTCATTTATACCTGTATGACTTGTTTTCTGAAAATTATAATATATGAAATAATGCATATTTCTGGTAAACTATTCCAAAGAATTTTAGGAAATATCCAATCAGAAAAAGTCAGAGTTATCCTGTCACATTCATGGGAGACAAAATATTTCTAAGACTGTAGTTATACGTGTATTATATATTGTATATCAAGTGAAAATATTATTAGACAAATAAGAGAATATAAGTGCAAAACATAATATTTGTTGAAGTATGATGATGCCAATGGTCTCACTTCAGGCACTTGCTGTAATGTTTTAGGGCCATTAAGATCTGGTTTGCATGTTTAGCTGTTAGATGTCTTACTCTTTGATATATGCTAACAATTTTTGTATATGCATGCAGATTATTGTTTTTGGACTCTCCAAAAGAGAGAGGAAAAGTAGAGTTTACTTTGACAATCTAACCTTTGACATCTTCAGAGTTTGACCAGTGCTGAGTTCACTGTCAAATGTTAAAACCTAAACCCAACACAAAGAATCAGTAGTTTAAAGCCAAGTAACAGTGAAATATATAAGAAAACAGAGAACTGTTTCCAAAGTATCTGGATACCCTGACATAATTTCAGTTTCAGATTACAGTTTTGTTTGTACTGATAAATCCACTTAGACTGAAGCTGTTTTGGGGAAAAGTTACTGTACTATGATTCTGTTCTCACTAATGTGCCATGTTTTTTGGTTAGAGCAGCTGGGATTTCCAAAGAAGCCTTAGGGATGTAGGTATACAACCTTTGTGAGATTCACTGCGAGCTGGGACTCTAGTTATATTAGGCTCCTGAAAACGTTTAGTAAGAATTTCTAGTGTTTTTAACACATGAAAAACATAATGCTTGAAACAGAAAGCCAGACTTCACTTAGTTTTGCTTGAGAATATTTGCTACAGAGCTTGTTAATTTGTTTAATGATGGTTGCATACATACATAGAGTTTCTATAGAGTTCATTTTTAATTGCAAGTCTGTTTAGAGACTTCTAAAGATCCAGTCGTTGATCCTACTTAAGTTGCTTGGAACTTGAGCAAGTTAGTCTTAGAATCCAGAGGTGGAAAAAAGTTTATGAAAGTCACCTGTTAATTATGTGAAGCTACTAATGGCATTGTTGGAGATTTTTAGGGCTGTGTGAAATGCCTGCATTTCATTTTGGTTTTAGATTTGGCGTTTTGGAGGGGCAGTTGTTTTGGCATTTCATAGGGCTGTCCAAAACAGCTGTGTTTTGTTTAGTTTCAGATTTGGCATTTTGGAGGGCCAGTGATTCATTTTGGTGTTTCAAATCACTGTCCCATTTCGGCCAAAACTGTTTCGGAATTTTGACCATGTTTTGGCCATAGGCTATAATGGGAAATCACAAAAATGCGTATAACTTTGTAATTTCTTGCCTCATTTGGATGAAACTTGCAGGGATGCTAGCCCCTTTCTGAGGCTATGATGCCTGCCAAGTTTCATGCCTGTCTCTCACCTTGATGCCTCAATTTACATTTTCACTGACTGGCTTTCTTGCCTGAACTGCATGCCAGCCTCTGGCTTCTTTACTATGCCTTCCCTCCAGGAAGAGCGCACACACACACCAACTAGATGCTTCCTCAGCCTGATGAAGGATTTTACCCCAAAAGTCCATGCCTCGCAGATGGCATCCCAGGCAGCTAAGCTGAGCTCACTTGGAGCCTCACAACTCCACAGCAACCTGCAAGCCTCAGGCCTCTCAAAGATCTTAGGGGTCTAGGTTTTCCCCAGCCAGGACTGTGAGTGTGTGTGGTGGCTGGAGGTTATGGTGCTTCCTACTTGCCTTTCACTAGGCAGATCTTTGGTCCTGGCATTTCCTGGGGCTGTCACACTGCTGGCAGTCCCACCAGGCCTCCCGACCCTGGCAGGGTGCAGTTTTAGTGGTCATGCCCAGGACCCAGGGCCTCCTCCTTCTCCATAGCTCCAGCTCATACCTCCAAGTTCATCCTGGCATGGGAGCTCTGCAGGGAGATGTTCTTCCCCTGCTGGCTGGTGATGCAGTGAATGCCACCCCCAGCTCTGAGAGTGGGGCATTAAATGGTTTTAAAAAATGAAAATGAAAAAAAGAAATAGGTGTGGATGGAGTGAGGAGGATGGCTTTCACTCCATCTGCATGTGGAGCTTGGGGAAACCCCAGCAACAGGAGGTTCACCTTGAGGAACACCAGCTGCTCCACCAAACCAGGATTGAAGGAGATGCGGTGGGGGGTCATATCCTCAGCAATGCCGAACACCCTCTCGCTTGAAACACTGGTTGGTGGACAGGACAGGTATTCCCAGGCAACTGTGGCCAGATCCTGCCACATGTGGCTGCGGCTTGCTCAATAAGCCAAGGGGTCACAGTCCAGCAGCTCCATGTCCTCAACGAGATACGTAGTCACCAAAGGCTCAGCACTACCTGCCCAAGGCTGGGGTCTGATGCGTCTGGACCCCACCATGGAGGCCATGCCCTTGGCCCACACTGGCAGTGGCTGGTGTGGAGGAAACTGGCGGCTGCTGAGAGTGCTGGCACAGGAAAGTGGATCCCCCTCTTCCATGTCCCCTCACCTCTGCCATTCTGCCTCCCTGACTCTGTTCACCAGCACCTCCATCCAGTGATTGAGGATTTTGGTGCTGCCAGTGCACATGCTCCCCTTCACCCTCAAGTCACACATGCCTGCCAGCTTGTGGACCGTACTGGACCTCAATGGATCCAGTTGTTTTTTGATGCCCTTCTTCAGCCATTTCACCAGTGCCTGCATCTCTGGCTTGCCCCAGGCAGGAACATTGATCCCCTGGAATTTCTCCATTTGGTTCTCAAGCTCCTTGATTATGAGGATCATCTGGCTAAGGAGGGTATCGCCAGCGCTGAGGGTCTTGGTGGCCTCAAGGAATGGCTTGAGGACCAGCAAGATCTGGGAGACGGTATCCCACTCAGCTCCATTAAGGGGGCTGATCCCAATCTCCCTGAGCAAGGCCATCTCATGGATGGCCTTCTGTTGCTCTACCAGCCTCTTGAGCATCAGGTATGTGGAGTTCCACCAAGTCGCCACATCCTGGATGATTTTGTGCTGCAGGATGCTCAGCTCTGCCTGTGTGTCCTGCAGCGTCTTGCCCCGCTTAATGTTTTGGTGGCAGTAGCCCACCACCTTTCTGCATTTTGAAATGTGCTGGCACCATCACCAGCATCCCTGTCCCCCTCCAAGGCATCTGTGACTATAAGGTGGAACTTATGTGCCACAGAGTGGATGCCAATAAAGTTGGCATCACAGACTGCCTTGACCATGTTGGCCCCACTGTTGGTGACCATGAACTCACAGGTGAGCTCGCCCTGCCCAACAAGCCACCCCTGTAGCAAATGGTTCATGGCCCCCATGATCTCTGTTGCTGTGTGGGACTCAAAACGAAATGGCTGCCAAAATTTCTCATAGCCCTATTGACTTTCCAAAGCTTGTGTGTCCATGTGCATGTCTATGTTCATTTCTGTATACATGTATTTGTATCTGGGTGGATGAGAGAGAGGAAAGGTGGGATTTTAAAAAGCACTCAGCATTGTCCTAATCTGACAATCTGTCTGGCCTACTCTGTTTGAATTGGTGTGTATGTGTATGCATGTATACACCTGCTTTCATGTTTTCATGTATGTTTGCTGTGTGTATGCATGTGTGTGTGCTAACGAGAGAGAAAACATGAGATTTTTAAAAGTGCACAGTACTGACCTAACCCTTCTCTTATTGAATGAAATAATGATAGAATTTGGTCAGTGTCTAGAAAGCTGTATTCTGGCTGACTGGCTGATTTCACCAAAAGGCTTTGTCATGTACCGGTTTCTGTCCCAAATGGAAATACTTAATACAAATTGGTAAATTTGTAAAAGTTTTATGCTATACATTAGAATTCTGTTGATAGGAGCTCATTCTATATTCAGTTCAGTACACGCTTAAAATTATTTCTTTGGTATCCTATTAAGCTCCCTAGAAGTCCTATTGTCTCCATCCTTGTTAAGCGCTACACGACTTTCCTATGAGGACAGTGTAGCACATCTGCAAAATACAGTACTCAAAATATCCTCTGCTCATCAGGCCAGAATCAGCTTTTAATTGTGCATGCTCAGGAGGGCAGGAAGTGTTTTGTCTGGATAAAAACTGCAGGATTTCATGATCAGGGGCTAACACGGTCTTTAAAGATGGCCAAAGAGATGTAATAAGACATTCATGTTCTTAGGAAAAACCAAGATTTGCTGCTAACGAGTAAAAGAGCTGTTGGGAATTCATAAGACAGCAATTAAATGGTGGCTGTGATTGTTAGTCACCATGAAAGCTATAAAAATAGAGAATTAATTAAGCTGTTTTTTCCTCCCTTTTTTTCTTAAATTACTGGTTTTATACAGGATATCTAGAGTAATCAAGTGCATGAAGAGTGGTAACTCTTTATGGGAATTACTCCAGCTTTCATTTGAAACATCTCA